AAATTGCAATCTACTTCAGTGGCTTAGATCTCTGTCATGCTTACTGAAGCTGCTATGGAGTGATTAGTTATCGTTTAGCAGCTTCAGTAGGCATGCCAGGTATCTAAGTCGCTTATGCTAAAAGCAGTTTAGCGAGAAATCCCTTGGAGATGGATCAATCCTGTTAAATCAATGTAGGTATGGAAACCCAGTATTAGGAACCTAGGACTGATAGTTGGACTTGACTTAAAGATGGTTAGAACAAGTGGGAAAATGTCATCATGACTGTTGGTAGATTTCTGTCTTTTTTTGGGGAAAAAATGTCATATGCCCTGCCAGCCCCCTAAACCCCACATCATATTTTCTGATTTTTTCACTCAATGGCAGTCTCATCCCTGTTAGAAAGAGGTCTCACATTAACATTTTAGAAATTTGTGGAGGTAAGGCAAGAGCCAGTTTCAGTAAAAAGATAAATGTATTAGTAAATTTTAAAAAGTTAGGTGAAGACAAGAACATTTTATTTAGAGGTTTAGAAGAATGAAAGAACTGGGCTAAGTGCCTGTTAAGTTTGTTTGTGAAATGCTCTTTGGTTGACTGTGAAACTTGTCAGTAATTTGTCATGTTTTATTTGATTCATATGACTATAATGCATAATGTGTACTACTTTATAGTGTATGCATGATAGAAAATTTTCAATGAAAGTAAAGAAATTGAATATATATTGGATTTGAAGGTTATTTGATAGAAAAAGAGATAGAAATATATATTATACAACTTAATTTGCAGGAAGAGATTCAAAGAAAGAGAGAAGAAGAAGGACAAGAAAAAGGAAGAAAAGAAACCTAAAAGATCAAAGGTGGGCAATATATGCATTTAAGAGGGGAACAGTTGCAAATAAGACAGATGATCTCTACAAAAAATTGGAAATAGAAATAATGCATTCTCTTTAGTCCAGCAAACCAGTATTGAACTCAAGAATTGTGATAATTTAGGCCTTAGTCAGATATGACCTCTTGCTTATACAACACTTCATTATACATAAAAAAAATAAGAAAAAATGTTATTTTAAAACACTTTGCTTATTCATTTAATATTCTATTTTTCCTAGCAGTTTATTAAAGCTCAAGAACACCCAAAATAAATTGAGAAAATTTAATGATGAAGAATTGAAAAAACAAAGTACATTCATATTGTAATAATTAAAAAAATTTAACCATCATATTTTCTGATCCTAGTTTGCATAAAAAGAGTAAGAATTTGGAGTGCCTACACTATGATAAAAATAAGATAATTAGAAGATATATAAGAATGTTTATAAAGAACTGTAAAACTTGACATAAATTTTTTAACCCAGTTTTCCCAGAAGCTGACTGAGGACCCAGAGTACCTCCAGACCACAGGAGGAAAACTCCATCCCTACCAACTGGAGGGTCTGAACTGGCTGAGGTTCTCCTGGGTTCAGAGAACTAATACTATACTGGCAGACGAGATGGGGTTGGGGAAGACCATACAGAGCATCGCCTTCCTGTATTCTTTGTGGAAGGAGGTGAGGTTAGGGTGGTGGAAGTGATGTGGGCATTTGACTGTTTCTGGGAACTTTGCTGTATCTCAGTGTTGCTTTTACCTCTTTTGTTTAACTGAAATGGTAGTATATGTATTTAAGTAATTATCTATCTCTCTCTCACACATTATTATATTGAAGACATGATATGTTAAAATAAAACTTTACCCAAAGCACCCAATATAAAATTTTTGTAGATTTGTCACTCATTCTTGGCTCTTTACATAATGAACTGAGAGAGAAACTGTGTGAGAGAGAGAGAGTTTGTGAGAGAGTTTAATATATATAAAATAATCTACTCTACATGTCACTGTTATATATCCCACTCCCCCAGGGTCACAGCTCAGGTCCCTTCCTGATCAGTGCACCTCTGTCCACCATCGTGAACTGGGAGAGAGAGTTTGAGTTCTGGGCGCCAGAGATGTACGTGGTCACTTACGTCGGGGAGAAGAAAAGCAGACAGAGAATAAGGTGGGCTGAGTTTGTAAATAATAAGTAAAGTTCATTGCCTGTTAGGCAAATAGTTTCTTTGAACAACAGCTAAATTCAGAGTTATTAAATTGCTCTCTTATATTTCTCAGTCTCACAAGACGCCCCATGGAATGAGTACATTTCTGTAGCCTTATTCTCTAAAAAAAGGTGTCTAAAGAAAATATTATTGTGGATGTTGAGAGCATAACGCTGTTGAAAAAATTCTTAATTCCTTTTTTTTTTGATCTGCAGGGATTATGAGTTTTCATACCAAGAGGATGCCATAAAGAGGTCTGTTCGCCCAAGCAAAATGCGCGAAGGAGCACAGGTCAAGTTTGACGTCCTGCTCACCAATTACGAGTTGATCAGTTTGGACAAGACAACCTTGGGGTCAGTGGACTGGGATGTCCTGGTGGTGGACGAGGCTCACAGGCTGAAGAACAACACATCTCTGGTAAGTGGGTAGAGATCTGTACAGGAGAAAGCTGAAATAATGCTGGGGATTTATTGATTTTGTTAATAAAAAGAGATAAAAGTGTTGAGAATTTATCGAGTAATCCTGATGTTTGGGTGCTGATTTTATGGTAACAACCCATCCCCAATCCCTCAAACAGAACTGCACATTTTCATAGTTCTTTTCAAAGTTCCATTTTTATCTCTTAATGAATTTTTTGTCAAATTAGGAATTTTCTAGGTTTTTCCTGAATAGATACTGAAGGATAACTGTTTTTCAGTTTTTCCGTGTTCTTAGTGAGTACAACATTGCCTACAAACTGCTACTGACAGGCACACCATTACAGAACAGCCTGGAGGAACTCTTCAACCTGCTCAACTTTATGAGTCCTGGGAAATTCGAGTAAGTACATAGCTTGGTCAATTTTATGAGTTGTTGGAATTTTCAGTAAACTTTTGATCATGCAGCTTGCTCAGTTTCATGAGTCCTGTTAAATTTAAGTATTTGGGCAGTTTGTACCATTTTTAGGGTCCAGTGGAAAATGGAATAATAAACACATAAACATTAGTTAAGTCCTTGAAACTTGCCATTAAGTTTTCAGGCATGTTAACTTCCAGATACAATCTTTCAACAAAAATACAGTATATTATCCATTTTTTAACCCTTTTACCACAGTGATATGGAGCAATTTTTAGAAGAATTCTCAGACATCTCCAAGGATGAACAGGTGCTGAAGCTTCACGAGATGTTGGGACCCCACCTCCTGCGCCGACTGAAAGCAGACGTTCTTAAAAATATACCATCCAAGAGTGAATTCATTGTTAGAGTAGAACTCTCTCCTCTGCAGAAGTAAGGACTGTTTTTGTATTTAAATTTTTTCATAATTATGTTTGAAAACGAAATGTTATTTGAAAAGCTGCTGTTTCTATAAAATTTACTGAAAATGTTCAGTGCTTATAAAAGATTACTGTAAACGTCAGGTACCTTATCATAACTCGGAAAATGTTTGAAATGATGACTTTCAAATATTTTTGCCCAGGAAATTCTACAAGTACATCCTAACACGTAACTTTGAGGCCCTGAACTCTAAAGGCATGAACCGAGTGAGCTTGCAGAATGTCATGATGGACCTCAGGAAGTGTTGTAATCATCCCTACCTCTTCCCTACAGCACATGTGGTAAGTGGGGGGATTTCTGACCTTTTGGTAGCCCAAAAATCATTGTTCTAGTTGCCCACATCATATTTTATTCGACTTTTTCAAAAGACAACAGCAAGTGTAAGGCAACATTTTTTTTTTGGAACCATGAAATCCTGGTAACCAAATGAGCACTTTTGATTGGCAGAGTAATCTTCAGTCAAACTGAACAATGAAAACCAGAGTTGTGCAAATGTCAACACGTGGAGGTTTAAAGTTGAAGGACGATTCCATGTTTAGGAGAAGAAGCTCAGGGCACCATTATGTAGCCACTGCTGTATTTACGACTATAATAATATAATTATCAGTAAGATTGTTCATGCTTCCAAAGAATTGTATTTAAGGATGTTTTCGGTGATAGTGATCACTCATTAAGGAACAGAAATAGTTGTTAAATGTTTCACTCTTGGGACAAGAGCGTCATCAAGCTGGTTGCCCACAGGTCGTTTTGTAAAAAAATGCTCTCTGAACTCACAGCACACTGTTATATGCATGTGATCAAAGCCCCTTAATGAAAGTTGAAACATCATGCCTTATAGGTTAAAATTAATGTATAAAGATTAATGTATAAGGCTGAAACAATATTACGTAATATAATCTCCAATAGTTGTATGTCAAGTTTGCTACAAAAGCACTAAAAGGAATTGTTTGAAATTATTCAATATTTACCAATTAATATTTTTATTTCTCCAATAATGCAACACTTCTGTCATTACAACCTGTTGTTCTGTTTTAGGATGCACCCAAGGGTCCTCATGGTGTATATGAAGGTAGCTCCCTGATCAAGGCGTGTGGAAAACTGGAACTTCTCTCGAAGATGCTCAAAGTGCTGAAGAGAACTAATCACAGGGTGCTAATCTTTTCACAGGTGAATAACCAACAAACTGACACCAGTTCTACATAATAGAAAATTATAAGGATATAATCAGTCTTTTTCCTTATTTTGTTCAGAATTTATTTTTTGTAATGAACCAGGTGCAGGTTTTTAATCCCATTCTGTATTGCTTTAGATCTTAATTTTATAGAATATGATTTTAAATGTTTTCATTTAAAATTGACACAAAAATCTTAGATTTTTATGTATATATGTCAAAGGCCTGGATCAAATCTAGTCCTATACATAAAAAGCCCAGACCCATGTTTATTACGCCCTGGCTGGGCCCATTCCTTATGGTGTCTTTGCATTGTTAACAGCATAATGGGCAAGTTAAATGACCAAGTTAATTGGCCAAGCTGCCGGTTTGTTTGTACGGCATGTGCAGGGGATGTCTTAGATCAAAGCACATATTATGATACTTACAGGTGTGGCAAATAAGTTACACTTGTATTTCATTACCTATGATTTGTAAAATACATCAGAGGATGATACTTTTAAAGATGTTTAATGTTTAGAGAAAAGACATGTAGAATGATTAAATAACATTTACTAAAGAAATGTTAAATTAAAGGTGGGCTTCATTTGTGCCTTGATCTAAGACATCCCCTGCACATACGCAAACAAACTGGCAGCTTGGCCAATTAACTTGGTCAATTAACTTGCCCATTTTACTGTTAACAATGCAAAGACACCAAAAGAATGGGCCCAGCCAGGGCGTAATAAACATGGGGTCTGGGCCTTTGACATATATATTTTTTCATCATATAAAGAATATTTGTTAATTTGATCAATTGATTAGAAAACAAATACAACCTTCATTTGGTCACCTACAAAGACAATTGAAATAAAGCTTTTTTACAAGGACCCTGGTTTAGAACATCTTTGAAATTCTTAGTTATTGACTCAACGATAGATCATTTGATTACCAACTGTATATTAAATAAATAATATTTTAGAAAAAAAAACTAAAATCTGATGTTTCAGATGACAAGAGTACTGGACATCTTGGAGGATTTCCTGATTTATGAAAAACTTGGATTCGAGAGGATAGATGGCAGTATATCAGGACAAGCTAGGCAGGAGGCTATAGACAGATTCAATGGTAAGCATAGGGTTCATATTGGAGTGATTAGATTCCGTAAATGTTACAATTGGTTGTAAGCAAGTGGTGCCCAGATGACTCTCTTGCCAACTTTATATTTATTTATTTATTTATTTTATTTTTTTTATTCAAAATATCTGGCATATTTCTTATTTGTAATTTTTATTATTGTTTAAAATTATTGTACCACCAGCGTAGGCGCTGGCGGTACTCATGGTTTTAGTCCCGACCCGTATGTTCCGCCGGCTCCGCCGGCTCCTGCGGCTCCGCCGGCTCCTGCA